TTCTCTACTGCTAATAATAGATAATGATGAGCAATATTATTTCAACATTCATCATTATTTTAAGAATTTTCTTTGCCATAATTTTCAACGTTGCTTAGTAACACTCATCTCTCTTACCTCTGTCAATTTTAAGTTTAAAAACACTAATAAAATATTAACTTCATGACCCTGTCATCATTTTCCAATATCTCATTTGTCCTTTGAAAGCTACATCTCCGGTTATTGATCTATGTGTTAAGTAATGGAAGATAGGGATAGGTATTCTATAAGACAGAAGACACTCTTCTTTCTTCCCTCTTTGAATGAGATCTCAGGGCCTATTCCACTTAGAAAAGACAAAGGGATTTGGAGCAAAAGAGATATAAAGTTAATGGTTTCCCATAGCAGTGTCTTCCTTTAAATTATTATTTCTTTGTATTTTATAATTTTCAAAAATTGTAAAGATTCTATTGTATTATAATCAACACTAATAGTTAACACTTACTACTTAGTAAGTGCTTTGCATGTGTCTTATCCACTAATAAATACAGGAACCCTAAATTTTTACAAAGGAGAACAAAAAAAAAAAAATGGCCTGATGTCTTCTATTGGAAAATGACGAAAGATTTTTATGGGCTTGAACTGTGTCCTTAGAAAATTCATAAGCTAAAGCCCAAATGCTTAGTGAGTCAAAGTATGACTGTATGTAGGGACTGGGTCTTTAAAGGGGTAATTTAATTAAAATGAGGCCATTAAGGTGGGACCTAATTCAATCTGACTGGTGTCCTCCTAAGAGAAAATTGGGACATGGGGAGAAAGGCTAGGGATGCACACATATCCACATGAGGATTATGTGAGGGGGCAGTCCTTTGCAAACAAGGAAGTAGACCTCAGAAGGACCCACCTTCAACTTGACTTGGGCTCCTAGCTCTCAGAACTTGAATAAGTTAAGTTTCTGGTAAGTCTCCCAGTCTGCAGTATTTTGCTACAGCAGTTCCAGTAAACTAATTCAAATGACATAAACTCAAAAGACAAAACTGAGGGGCCACAGTCCTAAGTACTTTTCCAGAGTATTATGGAAGGGATCATGTGTTGTTTTTGTGGTCTCTGATTTTTTAATCAGTATCAGTTGTTGTAACATGTTTGTATTATTAATACCTGTTTTGGGCCATTTTATCTACACAATTATGGATAGTTGTTTAGGAAGCTTAAATTCACCTTAGGTTCTAAGTAACTTCTGTTAGGCTTCTTGTCAGTCCAGAAATGACAAATATTATAAGAGTCCATTAGAAATCTTGTAAAGGACATATCTTGTAAGAGAATCTTGCAAACCTGGAGTACCCATTCCCAAAGTCATACATGATTTTGTAAAGAAACTGCCTTAACAGAAACTGCCTTGGCACTAGAAAAATTAGAAATAGAATCCTGATTATTTTGGTTAGCAAATAATTGTCCCTATAATCTCCAAAGTATTCCACCTCTGCTATGCAATGGTTTAAAGAGAAGGAATTCAGAGGAAATGATACTTTATGTATACTCAGGCCCTCAGAAAATCCTCCCTCTTGTTGCACAAAAGTACACAGGCAGTAGGTGTTATATGAGTGCTTTTGGACTGGAACAGTACATAAATTGTCTGTGAGAGAAAAGTAAATGACTAAGAAAATGCAATTCCAAGAAAATATATAGGAAATTTCAACTATGTATACTGAAATGTGTACCTAAAAGGTCTAGAATGTTCATAGTTAAGTCAGTGATTTTTCAGCTTCCTATGCTCATATTTTCTTTCTTTCATGTATGATATTTGAACATATTATACTGAAGCACATGTAAAACATTGCAATAAAATTCCTATATCAGCTGGGTGTGGTGGTGCACATCTGTAACCCCAGCAGCTTGGGAGACTGAGGCAGGAAGACTGCAAGTTCAAAGCCAACCTCAGCAACATAGCGAGGCTCTATGCAATTCAGCAAGACCCTGTCTACAAATAAAATATACAAAAGGGCTGGGTATGTGGCTCAGTGGTTAAGTACCCTGGGTTCAATCACCACTACCAAAAAATAAAAATAAAAATAAAAAATCCCTATAGCAATATTACTATAAAGTATATGCATTTCTTAAAAATCTGAATTAGGCTTATTATTCCAATGTCTTTATTTGGCTGTAGTTCAAAATTCCTGTAACAGCAATCAATTTGAAAGATTTCTCATACTACCGATACTGATATGTTGATATTCTAACAACTCCTCTCTCTAAACACAAGTAGAAGTGTTATACAAATACAAAAACAAAACAAAAGCTTCCTAAATAATGTTAAGCTGGAAAGAAAATAAGATAATTTCTCAGATGTAACTACAAGACAGGTTTGAGAATCCAGGGCGAGATATCAAAACTCATGGTAGTTGTTGACCTGGATCTTCTGCTTATCCTGATCTACCTAAGTTTGGGTTCAAACAGTTATGGAAGGTACAGGGTAAAGCACAGAGCCCTATGCAACTTGGAGCATTTGAAGCACAGAGCAGTGAATGCAAGTCAGTATTACCTTATGCCTTAAATGTGAGCTCATAGCAGGAGGGCAATATTTGATCTCTACCACTTACTGCAAGAAAATGTAAATAACTAGATGTGAGAAGGAGAACTATGAAACATTTTGGGGAAAAAAAGAAAAAAAATACATTCCCTAATGAAAAGCTATAGATTTCAAAAATTTTAATATCAAGAAATAAAATAGACAAAACCAATCACTTAGAACCCAAATTTGGAAGTTGTTTTTTTTTTTTTTTTTTAAAAAAAAAAAAAAAAAAAAACAAAGTCCACAAAATTTAATATGAAGATCATAGTGGATTTAGTTAAATAGGAAGCAAAGGTACAGTCATTTTTCAATTAAATTATATAGTAATATATAATTACTATGACATATAATTTATGACAATAGTAATAAAAACTACATGTTATTAATATGAGGAATAAAAAGAGATGATAAATAGAAGTTCATTGTATGTATTTTTAAAGTAAAGAAAGTTATAAATTTATGAAATTTTGAAAAACTCAGTGAAAATGGTCAAATTCCTAGAAAAAGAAATACAGTAATTGAACCCAACTCAACTAAAAACTGAAAATTAACTATTTCTGAAATTGATGAGGATATTCAATTAAGAGTTTAAATATTTCCAGAAGGAAAATACCAGTCTAAGGTGATATTAATTGAGTTCTGGAAACATCCAAAGAAAAGATAATTCCATTTTTACATGAACTCTTTCTGATAATAAAATACAGGTGTGAAACTGCATGGCCTTCAATGCAACAACATGAATGAATCTCAAAAATAGACAATTGAGTAAATATAGCAAGCTGTAGGGAAATGCATATGATAAAGCATTACATCAAGTTCAAATATGCCAAGGTATATTTTGAGAGGTATACACATAAGTGGTAAACTATGGAAAAATAAAGATGATTACTAACATAATATAAGACAAGCAGAAATCAGAGACATCATGTAGAGAGTTGAAGGAGTAGGTAAAACATTGATGGATGTCTATACTTCAGACTGAGCAGTGAATACCTGCATATTTCATCTGTTATTACACTTTATATGTACTATAAACTTTATTAGCAATGTCAAATACATTCAAAATGTTCAACAAGAAAAAAAAATGTAGAAGGGTGGTAAGTGAAAATCTTCTTCCCACTATTTCCCTATTCACTCAATTTCTAACTCCTGTCTTGTGTTTGCTAGGCCAGCATTCCACAACCAAGCTATAATCCCATTTTTTCTTTCTTCTTCTGGTGTTGGGATCAAACCCAGGGCCTTAAACATGCTAGGTGAGCACTGTACTACTGAGGTATATCTCCAGACTAGAAATCTTTTTATATAGTCTATATTTTCTTGTGAATACACAAGGTATTCTGTATACTTTTTTATTTTCCTCCCATATTTTTATATAAAATATGACATATTCAATACGATATTTACCTTATTTTTCCTCTGAATAATTAGAGATTTTTTTTCTATTTTAGTTCACAGTATATCATTTTTTTTAGACTTGTATACTGGTCTTTTGAATAGTTTTATCAATTTAAGCAAATTATAGATCTGTATAACTTTTATGGGTATATCCATATATTTGGAAAACTTTCTGTTTCCTCAAATACTTTGCTTTTGCAATTTTCCCATGAATATATTTATACATATATTTCTCCTGAGTGCACAAAACCTTGAAGTTGAAGTTTTCAGAAGTTCAGTGGTTGGGTCAAAGGATAATTCCATTTGTATTTTTAATAGATATTGACAAATTATCATTCATAGATATTTGTAAATATACTTTCCTAACACCAATGTAAGGGGTATCTTTTTCCTCAGTCTTTTTGAAAGTGTGTTATCAAACTACTTCCTTAGTTTGAACTTCTATCACTCTCATTTGGAGTATAGTGTAGTGCTTTTCTTATTTTTAGAGTCATTATATTTTCTTTTCTGTGAAATAAATGTTCATAACAGCTGTCTTTTTTTTCTAGTCAGTTTTCCTTTTCTTATAAATTTCTAAAAGTTTTATAAATACTTTAGATAACTTAGCTCTATGATATAAATCGACAATTTTCCCAGGCTTCCATTTCTCTTTTAATTTTGCTTATGATATTTTTCCATATAGAAAGTTTTAAATTTCATTGAATCAAATTTATTCTTTTTCAAAATATTTGAAATTTGAATCATAGGTATAAAGGTCCTTCCTCCAAGGCATTCTTTCATGTTTTTTATTGATACTTTTGTGCTGTTTATTTTATTTTAATTTGAATTTTTTGAAATATTTGAAGTTTATCATGCTATATGACATGATGTGTAGAACTATACTGTTTTTACCAATATTTGTTTATTAGAAAATAATATCTAAAATAGATTACTCTCAAAACAGATATCATAAATGTCAGTTTTAAAGAAGTTCTTTTTTTTTTTTAGTTATAGATGGACACAATACCTTTATTTTGTTTACTTATTTATTTTATTTTTTTGTGTGGTGCTGAGGATAGAATCCAGTGCCTCACACATGCTAGGTGAGCCTATATGACTGAGCCACAACCCCAGTCCCTATAAATGCCATTTTTAAAAAATGCATTATTGTTTTAATATGATATGAATTTATGTGACATTAAATACTCAATGTGAATCCAATACATTATTTTTCACACATCATTTTTAAGACCATAAAAAACATAGTTGTAAAGTTGGGTTAAAAATCATAGCGGCCAAGAAACCAATGAGCCAATCTTTTGCAAACTCAACAATAGCAATGCTGAGATAATGTCAGATAAAACCTGATGCAAATCTTTTTTATTATCTTGTGACCCAATGAATACAACATATTCGTGCATGCTTAGATTTAAAAAGCATGTTAGAATCTATAGCTTTTCTCCACATTTTTTCTGTGTTTTTTTAAGATTTGAGAAAATCTAATCTGTTAAAATTCTAATCTATAAATTTCCAATAGTGAATCTTATGAAGCAGTGCTTTTTAACTTAATAGAGTAGGGGGAAATTTCTGAATCGCTCTGGGAGGGAATCTCTCCCAAGCAGGACAACAGCTCTCTCATACACTGCATCATTCTTGGTGACCTTAAATATAGAAAATCTCTAACTTCCCAACTTTCTACTTCATCCTGGCCTTAAGTCATAACAAATGTAAAGAGCTCATTGACAAAGTTAAGAGCTCAGTTGAGTAGCTGAGATGAGCTGCTCTCTTTCTCATTGGCCAAGTAAAGACTTTTGGAAAAAGGAAGTGAAAGGGGCACAGAGAAACATTTTACTTGTTCGAGTCAGAAAGCACCTGCTTTTCAACAAGAAAATTGGCCTTATTGAGTGAATATCATTTGGTTTAGGTGTAGGCCTGATAAAATCATGCCTTTTCACTGGACTGGACTCATTCCAGATCCATAGATTGTCAAAATCAGTTTCGAATATAAAGATTTCTGAGTGCATTTGTAGATGTTTACCTAAGAGAATACTGATGAAGGATTCTAGCCACAGGAAATGATAGTGAAAATCAAACGTGACCATGTGCACATAGAACTGAGTTGGACAGGAAAAAAAGGTCTGGCGAGGCAGGGTAGAATTATTAAAAGAAATACCAGCATAACCAGATGGGTCAAGACCTTGGTTCTGGTACCAGCATTTCTCAAAGCTACTCCTGTGACTTCTAGCAAGACAGGTGACATAAGTCTCCATTTAACACCAGTAAAGTCAAGGATTTAGATTAATCTCTAAGAGGATTTTCAGCAAGAACATTTATTATCTCAAAGAAGGTGAAAAGCAAAGGACTTTGGGTTAGTGAGAAAAATAACAAAATGTGTTCTTTTGATTATTTGCTTAGGTTTTGATAATTACCTGCTTGGCAGTCTCCATTAATCAAATACACTGTAGAGTTGCCAAATTTTCTCATAATTATTCTATTTTAAAACATGTATGTTTAGGTATTTGAAATTCTTCAGAAATATTGAATTGTTTCTGCAAACAATTTTTTTACTAATTTTTAGGAAATTTTCTTAAAAACATATTCATAATGTCAGTTAAATGACAAAGGAACAACTATGAAGAATAAAGTTTAAGATCTTTTGCTGTAAACAAATGCATTTGAATATCATTTTGTAAAATAAGTTGTATAAAATCACAATATACTTTCTAGAGACTGGTCTAAATCTCCAATATACAAGCAAAGGGGGCTGGGATCAATTTATAAAGACTTCATGAGGAAATCAGTTCATTAAAAAGGTACTCTGAAAGGTGTCGACTTCCAGAAACAAGATGCTTTATTATGATCATAGTTGATGCTCTGTGTTTGCCTTTGTAAATCTAATAAACCACTTGCTGGTGGCCTGAAGTGTTCATTTATGAAAACCATTATGTGAAAAGAGAATCATGCTATCCACCCCACTCCACCCTGACCTCCTGTTTTCCTCTTAATTTAATCATTTGTCACAGGAGCATATGTGCTGATGAGATTCCAGCTGTATGTGTTTTGTAAACAACGTGTCAGCAAGGGAAGGAAATCACTTCTTATGCTCACTAATTAACACAGCATCAGCTCACCCTAACACAGGTAGGCACTCTGGTTTAGTGATCTGCGTGAAGCCAAATACAGACATTCATGTTTCATGGAGACAGAGGTTGTCTGCTGTTTATTTCATAAGAATTTTTTTTTATTTGTGGCTTCTCCTAGATGAATGATGATCAGTATTCATAGTATTCTTGTACTTTTCCCATACTTAAAGAGATTTTACTTGATTTGTTTCTCAAGGTATATCATGATATGACCACTTGATACAGGACAAAAATTCTCATTAAATTTCACATACAAGCAGGAAATGATCCTTTCAATACTGCCCAAACTAGCACCTTTGGAACCACAATGGTTGAAGCTTTCCTTACCTGTGTTCCATATAATGTACCTAAACCCATCAATGGAAATCATAGGTTTGTGGTCTGCCTATAGAGCGGGGGAAATAAGAGACTAAACAAAAGAGTAAGTTGTGAAATCTATCAGGATTTTTCAAACCTTTTTTATCTTTTCTGATAGAAAAAACAATGTTTATTTTCTAGTTATAATGAATTAAAGAAGTATAAAATTACCCTAAGAGAAAAAAAAATTTGTCCAGAAGCTGGTACCCCTGGATGACCCTGAAAGAGACTGATTATGATTTGCCTTTGACTAAGCATCTGCAAAAAAACCACCATCAGCTCCTAGAATAAAGACAGGAAACACAGAACTACAGTAGCTTTCCCAAGCTCTCTTAACAGCCTGGATAAGAGAGATTACATTGAGTTTCTTCATGAAAGGGAAGAAGTCAGGTTATCAAAAGGATACATGACAAAATCTAGCTCATACTGTTGGTGAAAATAGTGTCCTATTTTACAGGTGAGAAAACAGTGCCCAAGGTCACACAATGACATTAGTAAGTCTTAAACCCACATAAGGCTCTTGTGTGTGTGTGTGTGTGTGTGTGTGTGTGTGTGTGTGTGGTGTATGCTAGGGATGAACCCAGGGCCTTGTACATGCTAGTTAAGCACTCCCAGCCTGCTCTTTATCTGTTTTTAATGTGTCATCTCCATCAGAATGTGACTTTTTGGGTGACTTTTTTATTTTGTGGTTTTATTTACTCCTATGCTTGTGACACGGTTAAGTGCTCAATAAATTTGTAAATATGAAAAGGAAATAGGCTGAACTCATCACCCTATCTACTCCACTGCTTTCAGAGCAACAACTTAAAAGTGACACTGTATTGTATCTATTCTATTATCCTTAGAAGACAGGACAGTCTTCCTATAGATTTGAAGCTTATATAAATATTATCAGATATTTTTGATCCAATAAACAGTAAATTCAAAACAATATCATAACATATCCACATATGTTCAGAGTCAGTTTTAAAAGCATTTTATGTTTCCATATATTAACATCAATTTCATGTCTTGATACTTTAACATTTATTTACAGTTATTTGATATGTTTCCTACTGGTAGAAATTTAGCGTCTGATGAAAAACTGTGTAGACACATACACACCCCTATATTTGCAAATCCAGAATTTCATTTAGTGACATTTTATTTAATAGAACTCCATTCATCCTCACAAATCAGCAAAGACAACAAAATAGTTTCTTTTTGAATAGGAAATGAAATATTATCATTTTAATAACATAATAAACAGTGACCTGGTTTGGAAAAAATTTAAATCCATTAGAAGGGGATGTAATTAATAAAATTCACCAAAGAACATATTCTTAGGATTCAAACATAAAGATAATTATAAAAAGAAACAAAATTCAGTAAAAGAGACAATGAATGGCAGTATCTTCCATGTACTGTGTATACTTGAGCTTGAACTCGTTATTTCTGAAGTGATGCTAAACGCATTCTTAAACGCTGGCAATGAAAAGGACATCACAGAGGGAAATGGCTTCCATCATACAGACTGTCAAGGATCAAATAGTAAGAAACACAAGAAAATTCTGCCTTTTTCCTGAGCAAGAGCCATTAAACTCTTCTCTAGAGAAGGTTTTCCCAAAGTATCTTTTGACCCTGATTGCCGTGTATTCCTTGTGAATGACAATGCACACAAGTGAAACTGATTATTGACATCCTATGAAATACTCAAGGTGAAACCCCTTAGATCCTAAAGCCACTGAAAGTCTGGTTGACTTCTGAAAACTTTTTCAAACATCTATCCTTAATCTTCAGGTTGAGCTTCCTTCATCAGGACCGCCTGCCAAGTCTTTATTTTCAGTGTCTTTTTCACAGAAGGCCTGGTAGGAGATGAAAACTGAAGGTCTGAGCTATCACATTGAGGGAAAGGCACAAAAATGTAGGCGAGTAAAAGAAATATAAGGGTTGGTAAGAACAAAAAGATAAACAGTGAAGGATGAAAATCTGAAACCCCTCATCCAAAAATCAGTATCTAGGATATTTAATTAGTAAAAATATGGAGAATACAGAACAAGTGGTAGGAAATAAAACTATGGAGATAGGTGAGAGTAACAAATAAGACTGTAAAATTCTAAAAAGTATATCTAGAATTAAAGAGGAGAAGGAAGTTGGGAATCCAGTTAGAATATTATGAGGGTAAACAATGCCTGTTATTGTACATCAGAACTATAGATTTTCAAACTAAAAATATGTGAAATATAAAACCCATTTGATATGAGACTTCTGTTAAAAGGATTTATAGACTAAATGGCTCCAACATATATATTTCTAGATTATGGATAGATCTTTAAAACACCAAAATAATTTCCTATTCATCTTATAATTATGACTCAAAGGGAATGATCATAATTTCTGTTCCTTCTCCTCCTTCTTCTCCTTTTCCACATCCTTGTTTTCTCCTTTACAGTAAAGTAACTAACTATATGGCATAGTTTTTAAACTAGCTTCTAATGTTGGAGGAATTATGGTCTTTAACTCATGGCAACTTTTAAATTTGAAATGAACTGGAATATTCAACAAAGAGCAATTCAGTATGGTTTTGATCTCAAAATGATGTTCTACATGAAGATTCTAGTCTCAAAGAATAAATATAAGCTATGTGCATGATGGGTATAGGGCCCAATTACTTTAGAGTCATTTTCAAAGATAAACCTGGAAAAAAAAATGTAGAAGTTAGGCCCTGGGATAGAGATCAGATTTAGAGAGAGGAAGACATAATTTCTGGTTCATGATTTCATCATTTTCAGAGGCAGGTTTTCCCTTTGAAAGAGGAATAAGATTTTTTAAGTTAAAAAAACAAACTACAAAAGTTCCTCTTAAATGTATGTTATTGGTTACTGTATAGTGTAACTTGAAGAAACCAATTAAAATTTTGATGAAATCTTTTTTGGATCTGCTACTATGTTCCAGGCACTATTCAAGGCACTGGTAATGCATGAGTAAACAGACTGACAAAAATCCCTGCTCTTGTGGGGTTCATATTCTATAGGACAGAGATGTTAAGTAAGATAAGTGGATGAGCTATGTGGTGTATCTGGTGATTAATACTATGGAGAATGAATAGAGCAAAAAAGGAGAATATGAACAACTATAGGGCTCTTTCATTTTAAATTAGAAGAGAGAGATCTCACTAAGAAGGAGAAAATTGAACGTAGACCTGAAGGAGATGAGGGAATGAGCTATGTAGATATCTGGGAGAAATATAAAGACTATAGAAGAGTGAAAGTCTTGAAGCAGAGGTGCATTTGGCAGGCTCATCGAACACTAAGATTCGCCATAATCTTGAGCTCTTCTTAAGAATAATAAAGGAGCTATTCTTAAGAGATGGTGTAAGAAAAGTCACAGCCAGGAGAGAGGTCTTTAGAAACAAAATATAAAAGTATTTAACACTTCTTTTGCCTCCTATAGGTAAAAATGCCAGCCCAATCAGAAAATATGCTATTCTGATACACTGGTGCTTAATGACTTCATATCTACTCTCCTCATACATGTTTGTAAGGACTTCGGGTTTTGTTCTTTCAAAGGGGTTTGAGAAGAGTATAATGAGTGCTTACATTTTAGAAGGCTTATGTTAGCTAATGTTTTGATAATTGACTCTAGCAGCTAAGGGCATAAGAAAGGAGAATCTTGGCCGAGTGTACTGATGATGGTTAGAAGAGCTGTCAGTGTGGGTGTATTTTGAAAGAGAGAGACAGTGTGGGTGAAATGGGTGGATGTGATTTTGAGGGGGGATATTTCAAAAGATTTAGCTCTAGAAACTATAATGTTGGAGTCAATACTTGGTGAGAGGGAAAAGTAAAGGGAAGCAGGCTCAGGATGAAAGTGGTTTTGTAAATTTCAAAACCAAGATGTCTTTACACATCCAAGAAAATGGCATATGACAGCAAAAGAAAAGATATTCACAGCCTTCTCCATGAATCCCAGATACAAAGAACATGTAATAATGTTCGAGCACTAAAATGTTATGCTCATACTATTTTTAAAAACTTTTAGGTCATAATTTATAAACCATCATGCAAATATTTCAATCATATGCAGCTAAGTAAATTGTGTTTATATTCAAATGATATGGATTTTTTTTTTAAAGGCAGCAAACAAAGTATGTGTGGTTCTGACTGATACTTTGGTAATAGTGATTAGAAAAAAAAGGAAGAAGAGAGCATACTACTTTTTATTTTTAGGGGAAGAAGTGATGCTCAGACATAAAGCATTTGAGTATAATGTTGCTATGGGAAAACCCTCCACACCTGAGCCCTGACTAGCACTTCCTCATGTCTCTTTCCATTGGCCAAACATTGAACACATGATATCAGAAACTCCTGACCTTCTTAAATAGATTTCTGTATTAATTATAAATATTTTCCATTGTTGCTCCTAAAGAAGGAGGTAACAAAAGGTCAAAATGCATCTCTGACTTTTTTCTTGCATTTTCTAATTACCCTGGGTGTGGTCTCACTTGGGATACTTCCCCAATCCCTGCTCGAAACTGGTCTCTTCCTAGCATGGCTTTAGAAAGGAGCAGCTGTGTACAGGAAAATCCTCTGCGGTTGGGCCAAACAGTGCCATGGTCCACTATAGAAGTTTTTAAGTAAATTCAAGTGTCAAGGAGTCTTTTACTTCATTAGGTGAATTTTCATCCACATGTAAATTAACAGAAAGTCACTAAAGATGTAAAGTTGTACTGACTCAGTAAGCATTCTTTCTTAAATCAGACTGAATGGTTTTATTTATTTTACTTAATATTTTTAACCTGTGATTATTTTTAGCAGATTTAAAAAAAAAAAACAGACGTGGATTTTCTTTTCTTTTTACTCTATTTTCTCTCTTCCTTTATTCTTCATTTTTTTTTCAATTCAAACTTTTGAATTTAGTCTCTCATCTAATCTAACAGTTTTATGAAGGGATATTAAAATCTTAAATTTTTATTTAATGATCAGTCCTCTGTTATATACAACTTAAAGGTTGACTTCTTCATTCAAATTATCTTTTGAAAATTTGTCTAGAAGATATAGAATACTGAATATTTTTAAAGGAAAAAATACATAACGAATTATGTTTTTCCTCTTAAACCCAATACAAATAATAGAAAACTTGAAGTATCCCAACCTAAATAGCCAGCTATTTCTGTCAAAATAAAAATACTGTCAATATTTAGATGCTGTATTATAAATCTCCAGTTTATAGATCTAGTACCTCCAAATTTAACATACATCATATGCAAAATAAATGTATTTTTAAAACTGAAATGTATACTTATTCCAAAATTATATTACATTATTTACAATAGTATATTGGAATAAAGAATTTCCTTAAAAGATCAAATAGTAAACAGTGTATAGTAGTACATAAATAGTGTATAGTAATAAAGAGTTACATAATTTGAGCCCAATAATAAATAGTGTGCTTAATATTCTTCAGAAGCTTGTATAACTTTCTCCTAAACATTTTTTTTTCCTGGAACCATTGAACATTAAAAAAAATTGACTTTTGAGATTTTATATATTTTAAAAACAAACATGAAACCTGAAAAAACACATCAGAAACAAGACAAACGCTTTGAATCTCTGTGACATGCATAACAATTGTAGTTCATGGTAATTTTTCAAAATGGTTAGAAATTGGTTCATGCTTAAAAGTTTTGTTAAAATTTAGTTCAATTTTAATCTAGGTTGATCTCTTTCACCACAAATAGTAATTCTGACATTATTGATGTAATTATATTATTAAGGACAGAAATATTTACATTGAGATTTGAAGCTAAATCAAATACTGACCAAATACCATGTAAATTGTTGACATTTTCCAGTATTTGCTTTAAAAGTGCCTTTTTGTACCTATAAGTATTTGGTTTATAATTTTTTATGACATTACCATTCATACTCCTTTTTTCATTGAACTCAAAGCCTTATATGAGTGTTTCAATACATAGAATTGCTAATTTATATTTTTCCAACATTATTGAGGAATTCATTCTCCTATTTAAACAGAACAGACCTTGTAGAATTACTTTTATGTGGGGTTAACCTCAATATAGTTATATAATTAAAACTTGAACTTGTTTTCAAAGAAAGACAATATTCTCTAAGTTTTAAATATTTTGATCTGATAATGTTGGAAAGTCAAGTTTTCTTTTTCTATTTCTACTTATTTACTGCTTTCAAGTAGTAAACAGTGCCAAATAGTTCCCATAGCATATGAGAAGCTGTTTTTTTCAACAGAGACAAAATAAGACAAATAAATGTTTTCCATTACTGAAGATTATATTCATCCTGGATATTCAGCCAATCCTCTTCTTGTGTTCTGATACATTTGTATATCTTTCTATTCTTGCATGATATAATGAATGCCCTCACAAATTAAAAAAGCACTACTGTGTTTTAGGCTCTGCATCTGTAGAAGAGGTCTAAATAGAATATATGCCTATGAGTCTACTGATTTCAATCTTTCATATATGAAAGTTCAGATATCATACAAACTTGGCTCATTTGATTTTGTGTGTTGAGACTCTTTCTGGAATACCTCCATGGCTGATAGCAAATTTTTATGTAAATGTTGATAGATGCACAAAACAAAAACAAAAATAAATAAATAAATAAAAAAGAAGCAAAGAGACATTATCAGCCAACCAAAGAAGGTAGACCTTTAAATAAAACAACAGAAGGGTGTATAGCCTCTCAGCAGGTTTTTCTTGATACAACGTCTTTAAAACTCCACAGATACATCCAGAAACCTTTAGACTGTTTGTAGAAGCACAAGAATCCTGTGCCTGAAGACACATTTCCATGGCTCTAAAGGTTTCTTTTTGTGAAGAGTCATAAATTTGTTCCCATAGTCTAAAAACAACTCTCCATTATCTTAATGCAATAGAGTGAATTCTGTTCCCTCAGGAATACTGCAGAAACTTTCAGTGTTGATTTAACAATGTGACCTAGTTACCAATATTACAGAGAATCTACTTGCTTGGGTTTCCTGTTCATGAATGTGTGAATTTTAGTGCTGTGAAGCAAACAAGAATCTTATAGGAAAAGACTTAGGAAATGCCTCTGCCTACACTTATGCAAACTACTATTAAAATGAAAGAAATCATGCATGCCCACTTCAAAGCCTTGCTTTGAAAACTCTATTTAATACTTTGTGTTATTTTAGCATAGTACTAGTTTTGTAAATAGCATGGGTTAAAGTTACTCTATTGAACTTACACAACAGACTTAATACTGTAAGAGGATATTCTAAGCAGGTCCTCAAATATCCTTCTTATCTGTTTTACCTTATAATATCGGTGTAGATATTGACTTTTTGAAAGAGCATACAAATAGAATGTAGACGCCAGTGTCACTGCTTTATCTTATTTTTAAAGAGGCATTTCTTCATAGTTCTTAAAAGTATATTTTCATGATAACCTCTTATTTTTTAACATAGTAGTCAAAACATAGGCAAATATCACTGGTGGAATGATAACAAGAATTATTTATTTTTAAATTAGTTTTGGAAGCAGCTTCCCTGAAACTATGGGCAGAAAAATGCAGTGGCACACAGCTGCCTGTAATCCCAGCAGCTCTGGGGGCTGAGATAGGAGAATCATGAGTTCAAAGCCAGCCCCAGCAAATGCAAGTTGCTACACAACTCAGTGAAACCCTGTTTCAAAATAAAAAATACAAATAGGGCTGCGGATGTGGCTCAAGTGCCCCTGAGATCAATCCCAGTACAAAAAAAAAAAAAAGGAAGAAGAAAGAAATTAGAAATCAAAGATGGTGTAGTCTAGCTGAGAGAAGAAGTACATGATGGAGTGTGGGCTGGTAGCTGAGTTGTTGACTTTAGTGCTTGCCTAGTGTGATCAAGGCACTGGCTTTGATCCCCAGCACCACAAAAAAAAAAAAAAAAAAAAAAAGAAGAAGAAAATTAAATGGACTACTGTACTATTCAAATCAGTGTGATAACTCTTTAAATTTTCAAATTTTCCACAATTTTCAAGTAACAAGATGATTGAAAGAGTGAATTATGGCTCTCAAAGTAGAGAGGCAAAACTACTAGGAGACTAGTGTAAATGTGAGTATCAATGGGGTACTATTGCAATTAAGGTGAAAAAAATATAGGGATGTTTATTTACTAGGTTATATAACAGTAGATAGCTACATGATGCAAAAAAAAAAAAAATCAATGAGGAGAAAAAATTGCCTAAATAGCACTAGTTAGATGATGCTGAGGGGAATTGAACGAAAATCCCTTGACTAAGCAGCTTCAGAACTGCTGGGAAATGAGTTTACTCACTGACTGAACTAGATATAGCAATTTCAAAAGGCATCATTGCTGCGATTTGTTCATTCATTTTTAACTATTTTACACAAACTAGCCAACTTTCAATTGCTCATTTGAGCAAGATCAGGCACACACATGGCAATGCCGATGCAAAATTTCCAACGTGGGGTAGGGAGAGAGTACAAATGATACTAGTTATTTTTATATATGACACTGACTATATGACAGGGGAAAGAAGCTGACTGTGCTGGTTGACATCTGAAGCTGGTAGAATTCTGAAAACTGGCAATAAAGGGTGCACATTCAGAGAAATTCATAAGAAAGAACAGTTGATTGCCCTTCTGTACTTCTGTGATTTCTATTGGATTCCAATAGATCATACTGCCTACCACATATTTATGTAGTACACAAAGCCAGAACTATAGCATGTATGTCAGGTAAACAGAAACATAATTACATAAAGGGTTGTGTTCTTAGAAAATTGCTGTAGCTTTGAATCCCTCAACCATTCTAATCTCTGTAACAAGGGTGGGTAGAGTTCTTGACAGTCCTTATTCTTTTGCTCTTGATAGGAAGCTGCCATTCCTAAAGTGTCTTTTATTCATGTTAATTTATATATTTTTATTAATGTCAGACAGTTTTGGTATGTTGCAGAATGTTGTACTGGTTTGATTTTAAGATTCTTAGTAGAATTATAATGGGGAATTTTTGAAGCTTTTGGCTAGAAGTATGTAAAGGTCATTCATTACATGCCTTTACTTATGTTGGTTTCCCAGTTATTGCAGATATTTGTCTTTCAAAAGAACACATCAATGGTAAATTCTCAGTCTCAAAATTCATCGTGATCATGCTGAAAGGGTGATAAAAATCTTGCTTGTTCATGCTGGAGTTTGAGATTTAAAATAAGATCTTAAATTTGCTATATCATAAAACTTTCAGAAAATAAAATTTTAAATAATATACAGATTTTAAAAACAGATTTAAACGATCATATGCTCAGATGACCTCACATGCTTTCATTATAACCTGGTTGCAGCATATTCTTTCAATCTTTTTTGGGGAAAAAAGCAGACATACAAGAACTCTATGACAACTAACTAAAACCGAGAAAAAATAATTTACTTTTTGTTCACCTACACAATGTTGAGACCTATTGTTTGAAGGAAAAACATATTTCAGAAAAGTGGCACATATTCAAAATATATTATAAAGTATATTGTATGTCCCTTATATAGGTACATTAAAGTGTGTTTCACTATTTCTCATTTTCATTAACTTCAGTGAAGGTGATTTTCCAGAGTTAGTATCCCAGGCAATTAATTATCTGCAACATCTCTAACATCATTAATATGCATGATTTATTTTATAAGCCTGTCACATCAAGGATTTATTAGAGCTCAGTAAAAATATATATGTTGTATGTGTGAATATATATATATATATATTTCAACAAGTGCACAACAATTAGAAATTAGCCACTTATTTGTAAGTGGCAAATTTTGTTTTCCAAATTAGATGTCAAAATGCTAGTCACATATGGGTTTTCATTTTCTTGGCCAAAGAGTTTTGAAGGGAAACATTTTTAAAGTACATCACATTGGGGAACGAGGGGGTCTTGAATAAAGGACACGTGGTGAAGACAGCAGTTCAAAATTCCACATTTTAAGTGGGGAGACATCTTTTTGAAAGACTCCAGGAATGAACATGAAAGAGTTCAAGTGTTTAGTTCACCAGCTCATCTGTCATTCTCTGTCTCCAGAATGCAAAGCCAGTGATAGTCCTAGGACACATTCTGTCTGAAGTGAATATCACTAAATAGGAATACATTAATTACAATAATTTCTATAGTTTCTTGTGCCCAAAGTATACTTGAATATTGAGTTTCAGAGACAAACAAGGAAACTATTCACTATGAGAGCAGAAATATGGCTTCATAGGAAACAGGGCTACATTTAAGTTACCTTTGATACTTCATGTGTCTTTTCTGCTTTTTGTTATAGCTCATATCACTGGCTTCAATTTTTGAGTCAATCTTTCCCAAAGTAAATCGCTACTAAAATTTACAAACTTGACATGAAGATTATATTGTATTTACAAAGAACTTGGCACTTACAGAATAAATTATTGACTTTTTTTTTTTAAATCCAGCCCAGGGCACCCATGGTTCAGGCAAATGAGAAAGCCTGATGCCTTATTATATATTATGCTACATTAACATGAATAAATAGATTTCCAGCTGGTAATTCCTCCACAGTGCTAGCCCTGTTGCTGAAAACTAGTACCTTCCATTTCTAATCCGTGGAGTGGGTGTGGAGAAGTTACTAGTCCAGAGAAAGCAAAGGTTGCATGTTTTCTTCCTCGTTTTTATCCATGCGCTTTAGTACAGTGGGGTCCACTACTGATTGGGATCTGCAAAGGATAAAGAAAGCCAGGGTCAGTGATTGGTACCAAATAATTACCTGATGACATTCTCTTCTCTGTCTTTTCTTTGCCATTGCTTCTCCCGTGGATGTGGATTATCCTCTCCTACATCAAGGAATTTATGAACTGTGGATGTTGCAAATTTAGAGAAACACTGATGGTGGTGTTTGGTATCAGAGTGAGGAAACAGTTCCCTCTGGCCTCTCAGTAGAGTAGTCAGAAGAAAAGGATTCTAAATAGATAATAGTAGGTCTCCGTTCTCCTCTTCACCACTGAACAAGTCTCCTTTTTGAGATACTGAGAATTTCTAATGTAGGGCAGATGCTTTCTTATATATTCAAATGGAATGAGAAAACACTATAGTGAAATGATTGTTATTAAAAATTGGATAGAAATGATAGGAGGCTTGATTCCTGCCTTCAAAATACCTATGAAACAAATTCAATGTGAATGTGTTTTCCTTAACCATCATTTTTACATTAACGATTATATCAACAGAAAATCAGAATTCAAATGTTGCTTTTGTTACAGTTCCCAGTAGAATATTCAATAAAATCAGCTTTACTCTTAAAGCTTTTTAAAAAATGATTAATGACTTTAAAATACATATATATATATATATATATATATATATATATATATATATATATATATATATATATATATATATATAAACTTAAACACACACACACACACACACACATATATATATATATATATATATATATATATATATACTCTTGTTGAGGAAGCAACACACTATAATTAAGAAACCACATAATTTGAAAACTTACTTATACCTGCCTTTGATAGCAGGTGGGAATTATATTCTGATTCATCATTAGGAAACAACATGAAAGCAGGAAGGAGGAAAATCAGTGAAACATGCTACAGTCGTGGCAGGATGCCGCACTCTTAATAGCCACAGCATTAAGGAGGCAGCAGCTGCCTTTTAAAATTCTCCTCTGTAATGAATTCTCCCCTGCTGCTGCATACCAGCCAATTGGCTTCTGCTGTGGCAATATGCCTCTTAGCAGACCTCATTAACTTTCCAAAAGAGAGACTATAAGCTAAAATACAAGCACACATGCTAATGAAAATGAACAGCAATGGAACTAATTATCAAAAAAAAAAGAAAAATTATAGGATTAACTGACAAATTATCTCCTTCATCTAAGTAAACCTAAATTTGTTTCAAAAGTGGGTATGAAAATAAAGGTGAAAGGATTAATTTAAAAAAAGAGGTTTGTTTTGTTTTCTAACTTATTTTCTGCATTTAATCTGAATATTAAGTAGGCATTAGATAGATATTTGTCTCAGAAAGAAAACTGACTGAAGTTTTGTGTCTTTGTGTTTTCAAAAGAAAAAATGAGACAGGAGGAGAAAGGATGAGGAGGAGAAGGAACACAGAGAGGACAGCACACCACAGGGTTTCGTGAACAGCAAGATCTCAACTTTAATACATGATTTCCATACTAAAAGAACTTCAGTGTTAGGTATTCAAAATGAAGAGTAATGAGGATAATGAAGAAAGCATTTATAGTAAACAGATTTAAAAAATCCCCTTAAGTTATATGTATTAAAAGGTTGAGATCCATATTGATTATATCAATAAGTAAATGTCAAAGCTATTAAGACTGCATCATGCAGACAAGGTAAGTATTTGCAGCTGCCATCATATTCTGTTACAACAGATAAAGAAAGTCACACACACATATACACATTCTTTAAGTCTATATGCATCGTGGCTTCTAAAAAATATTATTAAAAGTTATGGCAATTTTAACAAAATATTTTAAATTATATCACACTTGAACTTAAGTTCCTAGCTTGCTTTCTTCATGACTTCCAGATAACAAAATTGTTGGTTAATAAATGCTGCTTCTAAAGTAGAACAATTCCTCAGCAAGAGGGAATAAAGCCACACATTAATGGTTTGCAATTAAAATATTTTTCTGGTATTTAGTTGCCCCATGTATACTGTTATTTAGACTAGATTTCTTTTTATTTTTACTTTTTTTTTCATATGGAAGAGGAAGATAGTTTTTGTGGTATCAGTTAATGAATAGGTTTATTCTAGCTGCAGTGAGAGAGCTGCCTACCATTGACTTATAATATCTCAGGAGTCCCCACACAGCCCATACTGTCCTTTCAATGAATAAATATCCAATAATTTAAATTTGGTTGTCAAATACTCATTTATTCATTCATTGTGCATCCACAATATTGTGCTATACCAAAATGCTTAAGAGGTTAGAATTTGGAGAGAGGTAAATTTCAATTGTAACAACTTCCTAGCTCTGTGATCACAGGAAGACAATTTAAACATCCTAAGAATTTTGTTCTCTTGTTTGCAAAATGGGGAAAAGATCCTTTACATTAAATAAGTATAGTGAGGACCCGACACAATAATGCATAAGCCCAGCACAAATTTTTACAATAGTGCTTAAGGAAATGGCTAATGGAACACTGTTGCCCAAGTACTGAAATTAACATTGCTTCTCTGTACTTAGGCAGCATATGAAAGGCATATACCTTTCCTGTGTTCTGTTCTCTTTAATAAAATGGGGACAGGACTACTTTATTAGCTGCTTCAAGAGACGAGTCCCCATACACAAGTCAATAGAAAAAGTTTTGGCATGTAGTAATAATAAATGTTTGATACCATTCAATAAAATCAGAAGCTCATATCACATGACCATATGAATATAAGTACTCACTGCAACTGTTCTATGCCAGGCACTATCCCAAGCATTGGGTACACAAGGTAAAAGAGACTTCCTAGATCTAAAACACTCAAAAATCTAGAGAACTTGGTATCTTTTCACATAATTGTTCTCTTCCTCTGCAAATGTGCACAGGAGGACAAGTTAGTCTTTTTATGTGTCTGGATAAATATACCCAAAGGAATAATTTCAAACAACCTTTGGTAATAGAATTATTTATTCCTTCTCAACCTAAGGATAATATAAAACTGAAAAGACAAAAGGACAAGGGGAGTTAGAGGGAAACTCAGAGGCAACCCCCTCCTATCCTTGAGGGAGAACTGCAAGTCCTGACACAAAGAACAAGAAAATCAAATGAAACAACTTTCATAATGCCATTCTTCAGGATTTTGCCAACAGGATTATAAAACCTACACTGAAGGACATCTAAAAGTCTAATCAGCCCCTGTGAGAAGGAAGACACAGGATTGGGGCAATGAATGTGCTGTAAGCCAAGTCTGCAGGGGACAAAATGGCCTAATTACTTGGAGAAGAGAATCAGGATCCTGAGTAACTTCAGAAGGTGGATAAACTAAGCCAACTCTAACAAGATGGTGCTAATCAATTAAAAGGATTTTTTGGGGAAAAAATCTAAATATAGAAACAGAATTAGGAGATGACTTGATAAAAAAGGGACTTTCCAGTTTCACAAAGGACATTAAGAGTTGACAGTGTGCTGTGGCCACCTGAGAAACAGTGAAAGCAACAGAAGATGCCAAGGAGACCCACACTGGGAGCCAGAATTCTGGAACCTCAAGGCCTGTGGTGACACTAAGGTCAGATGTCACCTATTCAGTTTGAATACTGAACTTAAATATAACCACTGACAGACAGAAGTACTCCTTCCTTTACCCGACTGGAATTTAGTGAGCATTTGCTATAAGCAACTCTTTCCTCCAGGCACTGGGGAGTCCTATCCAAAGAAAATAGGATAGACAAAGCCACCATGACTCCATTAAGCTTACACTGGGGGACTGGATACCAAATTAGATAAAATCAGTCATTTCACAAACCTAATGCTGCAAAAAAACAATACAATAAAATAAATGCAGGAAATTAATAGATTGTAACTAGAATTGGACGCAAATACAGATAACCAAGACCAGGTATCAGAGAAAGACCAAAGACTGGAGGAGGTGACCTCTGACTGGGACCAGCCATTTGAGGATGCAGGAAAAGAGCATTTCAGGCAGCAGTGACAAGGGCAAAACTCCCTAATAGGAATAAGCTGAAGAGGCTGAAGGAAGAGATAGGAGCCTAGGGATCTGAAAGGTAGGAAATGTAGGTTTGCTAAATGAGAGAAGAAAGGAAGGCAGGGGCAGATCACAGAGCACTGTTAGCCACAATATGGAGTTGATTTTATTCATCACATAATAAGCAGTCATTTAAAATTTAAGTCAGAAATATGAAAAGATCTGAATTACCTTTTTAAAAGATTTTTAAATTGCCATGTGGGTAGTAAATGGGGCCTAAAAGAGCAGTTAGGAAAGGTTTGGAGGGAGGGGTGCAGGTGAGCAGAGTGTAGGCATGGGTGCTATTGTGGGATAAAGAGAGAAGCAGGCTCACGCAATGGTCCACAACAGTGCATGTCACAGGACAAATGGACAAAGGAAAAGGACTTTATTAACTGGGAAAAGAGAAAGGTAGGGGGCATCCATGACACCTGTCTCTAAATCATTATATAGCTCAGTTACAAAGAGATGGAGCTGGTGCCATGCTGTCATGAAGGGGTAGAAAAGCTTTATGTCATCAAGAAGAAAGACAGTATTCCTCATAGGTTCCAGCCCTGCTCTGCTAAATATAGAATATGTTACATTGAGGATAAAATATCTGAATAATAGGATTGCTATGAGGATTAAGTAAATTAATGTGAAAAAATATGTAAGTCTCACTTATGGTAAGTACAGAGTGAATGATAGAGTATAACAATGATTATTATTATAATTACTTTTATTAGAAGGGAGCTATTCACAGATAATTACTTTTAAGAATTTTTGCTTATGAAAGTTCTTTGAAAATTTGATAAAGCTTATGTTTTCCCTCCAGAAAAATAAAATGCTCATGTGTATACATACTCATTGATACATATGCACACTCTTAACAGAATCCTTTGAGATCCCATCAATAAACTTTTTAGATTAGGAGAGCATAGCTCTGAAATCAGGAAGTGCTATTCTAAGAGAAGAGAGTTGAGAAGTGAAGGGTTGGTTTAAATACAAGTTTTTTACTAGTGGGGAAATTATAGCAGGTGAAGTTTCTAACCTTTCCATTTTCTTCAAGGTCTGCAGAGGGAAAGTTCTCATATACACACACAAAAGCAGTATCATGAAAGAGACTGGCCTTAAGGACCAGGCATGCTACCAAAGCAGACTTCCATCAAAAAGTACACAGGACATGGTTTGGCATGACAAGTGATATGTCATTGGGTCCTACTTGAACTAGTGAAAAAAAGTCTTGCTGGAGCTGCAATTTCCATTATTTCTGTCGGTGGGAAGTGAGCCAGAGAAATAATATTTGTTACCATTATTGTATTTTACTCTGAGCTGGTGTAGTATGGAGAAGCCTAAACATTAGGCATTTGTGTGTGTGTGGTGGGGGTGGATGGAGACACTGAGCACAGGGGCATACTACAACTGCAATATATCTCTACCCTTTTAATTTAAATTAATTTAATTTTTTGTGTGTGTGTGAGTGACAGGATTTCACTAAATTGTCTAGGTTGGTCCTGAATTTGCCATCCTCCTACCTCAGCCTCCTGAGTTGATTTGTTACATGCATGACTTAGATGTCTTTTTTTTTTTTTTTTTTTTTTGCCACAGGATGCAAACTCAGAACCAGTTATGCATATGTGTGCATTTGTGTGTCTTTGACTCCCTCATCCACTGATTGAAAGAAAGCAGACATAAAAGTACCATGAGCCAAAGCAAGTGATTCAACAGTGAACTTTATAAAGATCAAACCTGTAAAGAAATAGAATGCTTTGCACAGGAAATATTAGATCATTAGACAAAGACTTGGAAAAGATACTGAAAATGTAGCATAAACTTTGAACCTAGTGTCTGAATTGAAGTGTGTGTATGTGTGTGCATGACATGTGTGTCTACATGTGCATCTGTGAGTCTCTGTGTGGTGCTTTTCTTCAAAGGAAATCTTACAAGTCCATTATATTAGCTAAGAAAGTTGCTAGCACTACAGGGGAAATGGGTACTCTCCTCACACCCACTGCTGGCCTGAGGTACCCCATCAAAAGCCTGGATTCCTCAGGGTATCATTTGAAAACTACTGGATTTGGTGATTTCTAAGAGTCCTGCTAGATGTGTCTATGAATCTGAAAACAAACAAACAAACAAACAAAAAAAAAAAACACTAAGTTGAGACTTGACCTTTTTTAAACCAACAGATAATAATTGAATATATTTATGGTGGACAAATTCTATATTATCTCACTTACAGGGGGAATCTAAGATACCTCAACTCATCCCTTTACAGAGCAGAATGTGGTTGCCAGCAGTTAGGAAGGGATCATAGGATAAACAGGGAGGCATTGGTCAAAGAGGACAAACTTTCAGTTAGAGTGGAAGAATAAGTTCTGGAGATCTACTGTATAGTATGGGGACTTAGTTAATAGTAATGTGCTTTATATTTGAAAACTGCTAAGAGAATAAATATTAAATGTTCTCACTAAAAACAAAAGACTTCATCTTTGATTTAAAATTCAAGAGAGTCAATATTAAATGTTCTCACTGGAAAAAAAAAAGAATTTGTCTTTGACTTAAAATTACTGAACATCCAACCATGGGGACATGAAAGGTTTTAAAATTACCAAAGAAATATATACATATAGGAAAACTGTATAAAACTTGGAGATAGACTTAGGATGCCTCCCCAACCCAGCCCCAGATCACCTCCCAGTCACCTCCCACATACCTCTTCATGGACTTTGGGGAGAGCTCCTTGTCTACTTCCTTCACAGGCATGCTGTAGGAGTCCACGTTGTACTCACTGTCATCGTCATACTCGTGGTCTAGCAGTGTTCTTGCCCATGTTCCCATGTCATAAGGGGGCAGCATTCCTCCAAACTCAGAGGGCAGGATCTCAGGATGAATTAGTTGGTGTAGACTGTTCAGATTGTTACCGTGCAGAAATATCTAAGGAGCAAGAAAAGGGTGATAGAAAATTAAATACCATTCCAAATGCTCTGGGGAAGAAGAGAAGATGGGAAAAGAAAATATAAGACTCTCCCATGTCTGTTAAAATATTTAAACCTCTCATCTCCTCTTTGAAACAGGTAAGGCTGCTACTACTGTTCTGATATTTCATATAAAATCCTGAGGTTCAGGACTGTTAGGTAGTTTCTGGAAGATCAGATAATGAATGCCTAAAGAGTTAGAACCACAAATAAGGTTTTCTGCTTCATAGTCCAGGGCACGGGCAGAATAAGATGTCTGTGCTGATCTGCACACAGTCCTGATATTGGCTGTGCAAGCCTGGTGATTCGCACAATGAATGCTGTTAGAACAGACCCTGCTCATGAGGGACTCATCAATTACAGAGTCTATCTGAATTATTAAGCCCAGAAGCTGTCGCCAGTATGGCTTTCTCTTTATCATCAATAAAAACAAGAATACTGTAACCACAAAATTACTGCTTTATAATGCAAAAAGGTGCTGTAAATAAAAGAAGTAGATTAGTATCCTCATAATGAAAGGCTGAGTGAGGTTCTTGTCCCAAGGGATGTATGTTCTGCAATGCTGCCAGCATCCCCTCTTCTAGAGATTTCCATATTTATTGTCCAAACAGAAAGCCCAACAATGGGTTGAAAATGCAGCATTGTATGTAAACATTAATTATTGGTATTATTTTCTACAAAGTGCTCATTTATTAAATGGAAGACTTATCAAGTCACATATTGAAGATTTATTTCTCCGTGATTTGCTACCCCTTTCTTTTTTTCATTTTAACTTCTCTGGTATAGCATTATTGTCATTCATATAAATTTATGTAATATTTAAGAATGATAGTTGATAATTTACATCATAGTTTCATATTTCAGGTTCAAGATAAACAGGGTAGCACATTAGTATTTGCTTTTTGTAATTTTAGAATCCGCAGAAGTAAATACATAGGACAACAAAGAAAGATTAGTCTACAACATTAAATAAAATCAGAGAGATGGGAATCAACAGTTACCAAGCATTTAAAATGAATTATGAAAGAGTAAAACAGAATACAGCAGGTCACTGGCCAAAGCAATAAAAGCAAGCAGCAGCTATAATACACGATGCTGGGGACCTACAGTGGTGGAAGGTACCATCTGCCCAGATAACACCGAGTTAATTGCAAACTTCACACTTTCCTGTTCCAGTCTTTGAGCACAAGAGACAATATTTATTTCCAGGAAAATAATATTCTTTCTCTCTACCCCCACCCCAGGTTCCTCTTATCAGAAATGAAAAGAATTTTCCCAAGAAAGCACCTGAAACTGTTATTTTATTAGATATGTAAGATTTTTTTAATCAAGTGCATTTCTTCCTTCAAGTCATGCAAGAGTTATGATAAAATAAATTATTTTAAATCCTTAGAACAGTAAAATAATCCTAGCACACTGACTTCCTTTCTCTTCCCTAACACTCTGCTATCTCCTCCCTCAGAAACCCTCTCAGCTTTGCCCTTGCTTACACTTACACTGAGAAAATAGGCCAACCAGAGGAGATCCAACCAGCAGCATCTGTGTCCATGTACTCTGCCTTCACTGCTGGTACAATGTGGGGGATAAACCCCACCAAGGCCAAACTTTCCACATGCGCACTAAAATCCATAATCCATCCCCCACTCAGCTATACTTCTCCCAAGTCTCTCTTATCTGTTTCTCTCACATCACAAATTTCCTCTCTCTACTGGATCTTTCCCATCTGAAAGAAAAACAAGCTAACTCCACTATACCCCATGCAGTCATGTAAAACCTCTCTTGGCTCTGTACCCATCTGCAGTTGTTACCCTACATCTCTCCTTCCCTATGTTGCAGAACACTCCAAAGGAGTTGTCTGTTCATTGCCCAAATAACTCTCTTCCAATTTTTCCTAAATCCAATCCAAACAAGTTTTGTCCCTTACCACTGTATGAATATAGCTTCTGTCAAGATCCTGCTAATTGCTAAATACAGCATTCGGTCCTCAAGTCTAAGTAGTTATAGATGACCGTAGAATGCATTTTGACACATCATACACAAATGGAATATAACTTTTCATTCTTCTGATTGTACATGATGTAGAACCACACCTGGGGTATAGTCATATATGCACATACGGTAATAATGTCTGATTCATCCCACTGTCCTTCCAACCTTCATACCCCATGTCCTCTCTTTACTCTTCTCCGTCTAATCCAAAGTATCTCTATGCTTCCCTAGCCCCATCTCCTTATTGTGAATTAGAATCTGCATATCAGAGAAAATATTTGACCTTTGGTTCTTTGGGTTTGGCTTATTTCACTTGGAATAATATTATCTAGCTCCATTCATTTACCACCAAATGCCATAATTTCATTTTTCTTTTAAGGCTGAGCAATATCCCATTGTGTACATATACCACATTTTCTTTATCCATTCATCTGTTGAAGGGCATCTAGGTTGGTTTCATTGTTTAGCTATTGTGAATTGAGCTGCTATAAACATTGATGTGGCTGAGTCACTGTATATGCTTATTTTAAGCCCTTTAGGTATAAATCAAGGAGTGGGATAACTGGGTTAAATTATGGTTTCATTCCAAGTTTTCTGAAGAACCTACATATTGCTTTCTATAGTAGTTGCAACAATTTGCAGTCCCACCAGCAATGTATGAATGTACCTTTTCCCCCACATTCTTACCAACAGTTATTATCACTTGTATTCTTAATAATTGCCATTCTGACTACAGTGAGATAAAATCTCAGTGTAGTTTTGATTTGCTTTTCTCTAATTGCTAGAGATGTTGAATACTTTTCATATATTTGTTGATCAATTGTATTTCTTCTTCTGTTGAAGTGTCTGTTAGTTCTTTAGCTAATTTATTGATTGGGTTATTTGGTGTGTGTGTGTGTGTGTGTGTGTGTTAAGTTTTTTGAGTTCTTTTTATATCCTGGAGTTCAATGCTCTATCTGAAGTTCATGTGGGTCAGATTTTCTCTCATTCTGTAGGCTCTCTCTTTACGTTATTGATTGTTTTCTTTGCTGTAAAGAACCTTTTTGTTTGATTCATCCCATTTATTGATTCTTGATTTTACTTCGTGGGCATTGTGAGTCAGAATCATATAATCATCTCAATAGATGCTGAGAAATCATTTGACAAAATACAGCACTCCTTCAAGCTTAAAACACTAGAAAAACTAGGGATAGTAGGAACATATCACAACTTTGTAAAAGGTATCTATGCTAAACCCAAGGCCAACATCATTCTAAATGGAGAAAAATCGAAAACATGCCCTCTAAAAACGGAAACAAGACAAAGATGCCCTCTTTCACCACTTTTATGCAACATCATCCTTGAGACTCTAACCAGAGCAATTAGACAGAAGAAAGAAATTAAAGGGATACGAATAGGAAAAGGATAACTCAAACTATAACTATTTGCTAATGACATGATTCTATATTTAGAAGATCCAAAAAATTCCACCAGAAAACTTCAGGAACTAATAATGAATTCAACAAGTTAGCAGAATATAAAATTAATACCCATAAATCAATTGCATTCCTATACATCAGTGATAAATCCACTGAAAGAGAAATTAGGAAAACTACCTCATTCACAATAACCTCAAAAAATATTTGGGAAATCAATTTAACAAAAGAGGAGAAAAACATCTATAATGAAAACTTCAGAAAAATAAAGAAAGAAACTGAAGAATGCCTTAGAAGATGGAAAAATCTCCCATGTCCTTGGATTGGCAGAATTTATATTGTCAAATGTCCGTACTATCAAAAGCGTTACACAGATTTAAAGCAATTCCTTTTAAAATCCTAGTAACATTCTTTGCAGAACTAGAAAAAGTAATCATGAAATTCATTTGGAAAAATGAGACCCAGAATAGCCAAAGTTTTCCTTAGCAAGAAAAGTGAAACAGGAGGCATCACAATACCAGACCTTAAATTATACTACACATAGATCCACAGTAACAAAAATTGGATGGTATTGGCACCAAAACAGATACATAGACCAATGGTACAAAATAGAAGACTCAGAGACAAACCCACATAAATATAGTTGTTTCATACTAGAAAACAGTGTCCTTGACATACGTTGGAGAAAAGATAGACTCTTCAGCAAATAATGCTGGGAAAACTGAAAATCCATATGTAACAAAATGAAATTAAACCCTTCTCACCCTGCACAAACTTAACTCAAAGTGAATCAAGAACTGAGTCACTAGAACAGAGACCCTGTGACTGATAGAGGAAAAAGTAGGCCCAAATCTCTTCCATGTCAGCTTAGGAACTGACTTCCTTAATAAGATCTCTTGGCTAAAACATTTCCTTCCAGTGTCCTACCTTGCTAGACTTTTCTTACTCTTCCAAAATTTTAACATTGGAGAGTTCCAGGTCTCAGTTCTTGGAGCTATTATCTTTTTAAACCATGCTCCCTCTTTGGTGTTCTCATTCAATCCATTTCTTTCAGTCAGTGGCTTTACAATATTGTCCATATACTAAAAAGACGTCTGGAATCCAGAACTCTTCCTTGAATTCCATATCTGAATTTCCACTCCACTTGATATCCTCATTTAAATGTTTAATGGGGTCCTCAAATTTAACAATTCCAAAATTGAGCTCATAAATTTCCTCCCAGATCTTCTCCCTATTTTCAATATCAGTTAATGGTATGACTATCCTTTTAGAGCTTCTCAAACCAAAGCCTTTGATTCATCCTTTACTCCTCTTATTATCTGTCAGCTAATCTTTTTGGTGCTGTTTTCAAAATGTACCCTGAATACAATCACTGTTACCAAGTCCATCCCTATAACAATGACTCGAATTACTATCATCTTGTAAATTGTTATTACTGCATTAGCCTTCTGATCAATTCTCCCGCTTGTACTTATCCAACTTCTCTCCATTCTGAAGATGGCAAAGTCCATATGAAAATATAAGTAGGACAATATCATTCCACTCACAATTCCCACTGAATTCTTTCTCTGAGTAAATGCTGTAAGACTCTGTAAGAACAACTTCTCTGAAAACATCTAATTCTCACTCCCCATAGGGACATAGTGCCTCAGGGCATTTGCAATCGATCTTTGTTCTGCCTGGAGATTTCTGCCTGCAAATGTTGCCACAGCTTATTGTTCCACAACCTCATCTTTGTTTGAAAATCGACTATTTAACATTATAGCCTTGCCCAACCTGGAAAGGATTACCCACTTTTTCTACACCATGTTTTTATAGCATCTTCCATGTATGATATGATTTATTTACATTATGAAGATGCTACTTTGAAGATTTATAGAAAAACAATACCATTGTTTCTACAAATCCTAAATTTGTTGAAAAATGCATATCATATGAAGATGCTCTTTTTGAATTTACCTGAGTTTATGGAAAAAGGTTAAATGTGACTAGCTCATCTGGACTCAGCAAAAAGGATGCACTGCAATTGCCTAACTGGTAAATTTTTGCCCTTAGACTTCTTTCTTTCTTTCTTTTTCTTTGAAAAATTTTGTGTAGTAACAAACTTTGTTTTACTGTTTCTTTTTTCTTATGCTGTTTTTTTTTTCCATTTCAAGCAAGAAATCTGGTCCTGTTCGCTTCTTTGCCAATTTTAAGAATTAAATTGAATAATACTTTCAGTACTATTTTGATTTCCTACACTATGCCATTAAAGAGATTGTGCTAGAAAGGAAGAAGGTGAAAAACTTTTGAGAATCAACAAGCAACAGAAAAAGGGGTTCACTATATTGAAGAAGAAATAGAAATGTGTGCCAACTATTGAGAAAACCTGTTTCCTGTCAACTCTTGGAAAGTAACAAGGCCATAGCTATGGCTGAGTGAAGAGTGCTAGTTGTGGGTTGAAGCTGAGCCCTTGGTTTCCAACTTGAACTGGGATGTACCTCTTTAACAGACAATTTAAGAGCAGAAGGAAATCTTAGTTACAGAAACAAATATTGGCTTGATCAGTGGGGATGTCGGAAGTGGTTATAATGGAGGAGAAGTTTGGTGTGAAAGATTCCAGATCCTGGTCTCGAATTTGAGAAGGGACTTATAACACCAAAGATTAATATTATTATCATCCCACCATATTGGAGGATCAAACTCAGATTTTATTTAATTTGATAAAATGAAGAACTAGATGTTTTTAACATACCTGAGTTTATGGGAAAAGGGTCACAATTCTTCTTTAGGTTTTCTTTCACCACTTTTTCAGAACACAGATTTATAGCATCTCAAGTGTGAAGTGTTAAGTAATATTGTAATGCTGAATCATTTGTAATTCCACTAAGAAATGTAATAATAGCTTTGCATTATGCATTGACTTTATAAGTACAAATTAAAGGCATTTAACCTATAATTATTTTTATATGAAAATTTCCAAGTCATATAATTTTAATTAAAATGGTAAATTTTGGATACCTCATTTCCATCCAGAATAGTACCAGAAATGTAGTCTTCTAGGCACTGCTAAAATTGTCAAATTCAATCACAAAACCCCCAAACATGTTGCTTTCCTAGTTTTCTAAACTTGAACTTTTTCAGTGATTTTGATTTTTTCCTTTTAATATTGCAGGATCATGTTAAAATTATGTCCAAAAAAGTCACCCCTGTAGTCAAAACCCTTGAAGTATTTCCCATTTCACTCTGAAAGTCCAGATCCTTGCAATTAGCTACATGGCCATATATGATCTGATGCAATGGGCAACGTGGCCATATATGATCTGGTGTACCATAGTACCTCCTATCCATTCTGTATCACCATCCCCCACAGTTAATTCTGCTCCAGCTTTTCTGGTCCTCTTGTTATTTGCCAAATGCATTAGACAACTAGACGTGTGTTTACTCTCACAATCCCCTCTGCCTGTAACTATTCCCCATAAATCCAGATATCCAATTCTGCTACCTACTAGCTGTGATTCACAGCAAATTGCTTAATCTTCTATGCCTCATTTTCTTATGTATGAAATGAGAAAAATAACAATTCTTACCCTAAAACTTTGTTACAAAAATAAATGAGTTAACATATGTAAAGTTGAGAACAGCATGTGACACAGAGTGAACACTACATAAGTACTGACTAGAATACTTTGTACTAAAAGCCCCAGCAGGTGCTTTGGATAACCTGATCACTCTTTCTTAGAACAACCTTGAAAGAGCATTTGTGAGGCACTTCAACATACTTTCTGAATTTCAAAATACCAATAATTTGATTCTTGGTGGTAGAAACAATTCTTAATGTAAATTATAATTGAAATGTTTTCAACAAATTCATACACAGTAAGCTCTCTGTTCACTAATGTTTGATATGAACCCATAATTACTGCACATTCACACTCAAAATGAGGGCTCTGCAACACTGAAATACCTGAAGCACCTTCTCGGTCATTTGACAAACAGGGAGACTTATCTTCTCATAATTGGTCTAGAAGTAAGTATATTTTCCTGTGCAACTAATCATTGGGAAATGGATACGCACAAAGAGGTAGGAATAGGTCTAAATATGGAGTTGGGTGATTTGGGTTTTCTTATTAGCTCTACAACTTTACAGCTGTGTAGATGAGTAAGACCCTTACTTATCCATCCCAAACATTCATTTCTTTAGCTCTGCAGTAGAAGATGCAATTTACTAAATTAACTTTTCAGAGTTGAGAGTAGAATAGTAGTTACCAGAGGCTGGGAAGATAGAGATGGAAGAAGGTTGGTTTATGAGCATATTATAGTTTGATAAGAAAAATCAGTTACAGAAGGGTGCCAATAAATAAGAATAATGAGTTTTGTATTTCAAAACAGCCAGAAGAAGTGATTTTGAATATTTTCACTACAAAAAATTAATAAATATTTGAAGAGATATGTATGCTTCTTCTGATTTGAATATTATACAATGTATACATGATTTGGAAAAATAAATAAATAGTTGGCCAATATTTTTAAAATGTACATATTCAGAGCTGTTGCAAAAATTGAATGAAAGAACATGTACTAAAAGGCATTTTAAAATCTGTATTTATTAATAATGATAAACATATTAGTATGTATTATATACTGTGCAGTGTTCTAAATGCTTTAGATAAATTATTATCTTAGTCTTAGAAAAATGATTTTGTTGTTATGTGCTTTAATTATCTCATGTTAGATAAAACTAAATCTTCAAGCAAGTTACATGTAATTTAAAGAAACATTAAAATGTCTAAATATTATCATTCTTTTCAAAATGTGTGATTGATCATGATAATTATTACAAAATTATATTAGATATTGCAAAATTTATTATATTTATTTCAGTGCATATTATAATATAACAAACACCGATTTACCAGCAAATACTATTTTATACTCTGTAGACCTCGCCTGAAATTAAGTACAGCAATATTAATGTAGTTATTTGGCAAAAATTCTTTTGAACTTTACACTGAGGCTTTCATGTGTAATGAATGTGCTAATATGTCCTCTTATAGTATAAGAAAGTAGGAAAGCTTGTTTTTTAATGTTTCATTCACAAATGCAGCATTGAGAATTGCAAGGTCTATAAGAATTTTAAGATGCTTTCTATGCTAAATATTTATATGACAACCTAGAAACCCATTTCAGCATGGCCAATATAATACACATGTATTGTGTATCACAACTCATTACATGGGGCAGATTTAAAAACAAAGAAAGCAACCTACCCTTTTCCGAGTTTTCTCCTTCAGGAAAGGCCGAATCACAGTGTACAGGGCATGGATGTACCAAGGTTGATTGACAAAATGAATTCCTCCAAATCGTGCTGGGAAACTATCCTAGAAGAACATGGAGGAAACAAAGTCAAGACATGCTTTAACATGCTGAAAAGGTTTAGGAAAGGTCAAATTTGTTATTCCACATACTAAAATGAGATCATCTGTGCAGCTAAGAAGGAAGAGCCTTCCTACATTGTAACTCTTGTGCTGAAACTGAACCACTTTATAAGAAAGCAAACCCTTCTCAAGAATAAGTTGTTGAAAAGAATTTCACCACTAACTGCTGTCAATTTAGTCCCAGAAACATAAACAAAAGTATGAGAGATATGTCAAATAATGAATGTATGTTATATAAATATTTTACCTAAATTATTTATAATGAAATTTATTTAAATTAAAATGCTTTATTAAATTTAAATGTAGTCATTTATAATATATATGCTACCAGTTATCAAAAAATCACTTTATTATTTTTTCTCTTACTATATATAAACTATATTATAAAAATTGTCCTTTCTTTATTTCAACTACATAAAAGAAATCACGCTTAAGCAAAACAAAAGCCTAGAGTTGTACTGTAGAAAATCTGAGGATATATTTCATTAGATTAAATGAAAGTAAAAACCTTCTGAGCTGATCTCACTGGGGGATAATGGGTCTCTGCTAAAGCCAGCCTCCTTCAGCAAGAAATGACACAGTGTACATTTGAATCTGAAGTGATGAACAGAGGTATTTTCTTCCTACTTATAACTAATGGGTGTGTCCCTACCTCCTGCACAATGTGAAGGGAATTCCTAGGGCACATCAACTGCAACCTTTGATACTGCAAGTAGCTATGCTAAGGATGCCACATCAGTGCACTTAGGTGTTGCTACCAGCTCCAATTTCCACACTGAACTGACTGCAAAAGTCTTCTCAAAAAACACTAAATCACCAGAACTGTCTCAAAGTGGGATTATAATAACTGGCAAAAATATGGGTATTTTTTAATTTAAATGATCTATTTAAATGAGTCATAGTGTGTGTGTATATTTCAGCTTTACAAAATCAGTAAGAAGTTCTATCAATTTATATCCCTCCTTTCCATAGAATTGTAAGATAGTTCCAGTTTTCCCCCATATCATATCTGATATAGTCTATCTTTCAATTATTGCCAATCTCATAAATATAAAATAGATTCTCATATGACTAATTTGCTAGTATTTGTCTTTGCTCATTTTTATTAGTTTCATCATAAGTAACACTTTTATAACAAACATTTTGAACATGTTATATTATTTTGGAATCCTTGAGAGTCTTAATTATTTTCTGTCTCTAGTGACTGTTTTCAAGATGTCTTGTTGATGGAGGACTCACAGTGGCTAATATTAATTATCAGGTGTCCTGATGCAGCTGGCTTAAGGAATCCTTTCTCCAGACAAGATCCGTTTTATCTCCTACTATACATAAGACATTAGCAACCTATATGGTTATAATTTAGTTTCTCATCCTATAATTTCTCTGACTGCATTATATAGAAAATTTCAGGCAATTTTAAGGCTATTATGGCCTCAGATAACCAGGGGAGACTGATCATCATCATTAGTTTTATGGATATTATTCGTTTTCCACCTAGATAAAAGAAAGACCTAGTGATTTCTTTGAAGTTTTCCTGTCCACCCAAGGCTTTCTCTCAAAACCTTTTCTCAAAGGAAAAGCACCTAGAGGAATGTGAACTCTCATGTCCTGTCCCCGTGTTCAAGGTTTCCAAGCCTACTTCCTGCTAATGAGCATCCCACTCCCCAGTATTGTGCTTGCCTTCTTACCTGTCCCCGCTTCATCTACTCTCCTGTTTTTCCTAGAGATTTTCATGTGATCCTTGGCCCAGAGGACTTTTCTCATGTTCTGAGAGTTCAATAATACATCTGGAAATATCTTGTTGCTATATAACCAACACTGCTTCTTCATGACAGGAAGACCTCTGAGAATTTTTAGCCTACTGCATTGCCTGAAGCCAAACTGCTTAATATTTTTTAAAATATATTCTTGAATGAACATTTGGTCCCCTAAACAAATGAATGAATACCAACTATCAAGGTTATTAAACCAAGTCCCAGCTCAGTGATTCTCAAATGTTGAGAATACATGTAACTTACACACAAAGTCAAGGGCTTTCTTGTACACATTTTTCCATATACAGTGACTCTATCAGTACCAAATCACAGCTAGGGCTGAGTGAAAGAACAGGGAAAGCTCTGACTTTGCAATTAAGTAAATCTATTACAAAATTCTGACTTAATCCACCTCTCAAGCATCAAAGTTAAAAACAAAAATAACATCATTGATTCCTTCTTGCCCCACTGTGGTCTTCCCTTTTCTTTTTTTTTAATCGTGTTCCAGGTTTTACAATATTTACCATCCTGCTTCTGTGGAGCTTCATATTTGCTTCCTGAATCATGCCAATGTGATCCAAGCATGATATATGGGAATATAAAAATAAATCAGGCACTCTTGGGTCAGTAGAGTACACAGAACAGTCACCATCTCCATCACATGTCACTTCCCTGCATCTACTTCATGCCTGTGGTCACCATGCTGTTTTATAGCTTGCGGGAGTTGTTCTGTCCCATACAGATGTGGGCTCTTTGAGTGCAGAGGCTGTGTGTTCTATATGTTCTACTCATGCTTAGCTTGGAATCCATGTCCTGCTGTACAACCCTGAAGTTAAGGGACTGGAAGGTCAAACATGAATATCACAGTGGAATTTTGACAGAAAGAGTTCCTCCAATGACATATTTGAGGAAGATTCAAATGCTCAAGGAGAGCAACAGCCATCCTCTTGGTGCTAAGAAGCTCTTGGGAGATTGTTAGCAGAATTCCGGAGCTGGACCTGCCCACCTTCCACTTTCTAGATGTCACTAAGAAGTAAAAGGCTTTGGGACAACAGCAGCAAAGGTGGGTATAGTAGCTCATAGACCTCTAAATCCCACTGGAGTTCTGGAGGAATGTGACCTCAAAACCAAGAGCTCAGGAGCAGTCCTAATCTCCCATTGCTCTAGCTCTTCCAACAAGGTTTTGAACAATTATGACCTTTAATACATCTACCTGGTTTTGGAATTATCCAGAGAGATGACTGTTTTGTGTACTCTACTGACCCCACAGTACCTGATTCATTGCAACATTCCCAGCATCTTGTAAATGCACGTGTGTATCCCAGCACAGAGTTAGATGAATTTAGCTGAATAGAATTGATTCTGATATTTACTATTTAAGAAAATGTCTTCTCTGAGCCACAATTTCCTTACCTACAAAGAACAAAATTGAATAGGAATGCTAATAGCTAACAGTATGTGTTACTTAATGAGAACTCCTCACAGATACAAGCCTACCATATTCACTGTCAATCCCACTTTGCAAATGTGGAAATGTTCATGGAGGTAATTTTATAATGTGGCTTAATGGGCAGTTGTCCAGTCCTAAACAGCTCTGTATAGTACAAAATAACAGCATACACCACTCTGATCATTGACTCCGTAAGACATACCACTCTGCACCGGAGACAGTGACAGAAAAAGTGCCCCACAATTAGTGAGAAAAACCTCAACAGAATTTCTACCTTCCAAAAGCATTGGCTAGCTTGCCCATTCCCATTTACATTTTTTCTTTTTCCTTGAGCAGAAATTTTGCTCTAGATGCATAGGTCATCTTGCCTGAATGATTAGAGGAATGGAGGAAGAGCCCACCAAGATTCTAAAGTAAGTCAGCATTCCTCCAAGCCTGTGTCGACGATAACCTCCAACAAATACCCTTCTGTGGCAGAAGATGAGATTTAGAAGCACCCAGCAGGCAGTATGTGAGTTTCTCCAAGGATGAACTTTTAATTCAAACAATCCTAAAATGAGGGTCAATCAAAGCAAATTATCTATCTTTTCTTCATGGGTACTACAGACACTAAATTGGGGTAAATATATTTCTCTCTCTCTCTCTCTCACTCTCACCACACACACACACACACACACACACACACACACACACACCCCAATATCCCTACTCCTGAGTGCCCACATCCCAAGCAACCACTATCCTCCAAAGCTGGGTTCCCTGCACTGGCCCTTGTCTCCTGGGCTGTCCACACTCCACCTACTCTCCCGTTTTTCCTGTAGATTGTCAGGAAGATCTAAAAGAATTTTTAGCTTACTGCATTGCCTGAAGCAGAACTAATTAATATGCTTTTAAAATATATTCCTGAATGAGCATTTGATCCCCAGAACAAAACTGAATGAACACCAGCTATAAAAGCTATTAAGCCAAGAGTCTTAGCTCAGTGATTCTCAAACTTGTGTACAGTACTCAGTAGATACCAGTGAATTATTCATTTATCTATAGCAAAGATATTTGCTTCAAAAATCTAGCAATTGAACAAAAATTGGAGAATCTGAACTACTACCACATTATTCAAATGTAAGGGTTAAGTTTGATGAATATAAAAATCATGTGTTACAATAATATTATTACATATTGTATCAGATTTGGGAACAAAAATACTCAACAATTTCTGGCACAATCCAGGTACAGTTTATAATCACAAATGATAGCAAAGTGGACTTTTCCATGAGAATTAAACCTGTAACTCTAGTCTTATTTCACAATAAGATTGTCTAGGATTCCTAAACAAAGCAGTCATGTTAAGAAGTGTTCTTAATATGAACATAGGAGGGAATTATATGTGTAACTCATGCATTCAAAGTTAAATCTATCAAGATTCTATGAATGTTCTTTTCTTTTTCTTCCTTTCATATACTTTTTTGAAGCACTTCAAACTACTCTGCTACTTCCAACTACTAATGATCCATAGTAAAGCACATGTAGTGATAAATTGTAGCAATCATCACCTAGAAATTACAACCTTAAGTCTGTAGCTCTATCTGTAAGGTTATACTAGAATAAAAATATATAGCATTATTCCTTCATGACTCTTGCAGTGTAAACATAAATCAACTCTTTTGTAGAAATGTTAACTACAAAAAAGCATAATAAAAAAGTCACTGATGTCCTTACCATCAGAGACAGGAAGTAGATTC